TGTTTGAATCAAAGTTGTAACCAGATGAGTTAGCTTTCCAACGCATTTTGAATCGCTTCAATCGAATATCGGAATACAAAGTTATGATAAAAATACTGAAGAAAGATTCAGCTGCCTGTTTAAAACAAGAAATTCCGTTACATAGTCCGTTAAAACAACAAATTCCGTTAGTTTTTCCGTTAAAAACAAGAAATTCCGTTACATAGCCACTTTTAATATATAGAAGATATATATAAATTGAAATGGACTCAAAGGTGGCAAGGGCGCTTTTTGATTATGAGGACAGTAAGAACTTCTGAAACTTGAGTTTCATAATAAATTTACTTCATCTCTTTCCAGTAGCAGGTATCAAGGCGACTAGGAGTTGGAGGGACAGTACCCTAATCAACACATGGTGACGAAGAGTATGGTTACGTTCCATTAATTGTTGTCCAGATAACTTCTCTTTTATTTTATCATTAGGAGAGGTCGGAACCGGAGCACCTTCCAAAGTACGTACATTAATAAAAGATGTAACTTAGAGCTGTTGAATTATAATAAAATAAGGTGGCAAATTTTATTACAAATTGTACTTATCTTGAGGTATCGAGGCAAGACTTCTACGGTCTCCCTTCTCAATTTGAATTTTCTTATGGGAGTCGATACTATTTCTTGATAGTCCCTCTAATAAATACTAAGGCACCGTTTGGTAACCATTATTCTAGAAAAAAATGTATTCTTTGTGTCAAATCACACCTTTTTTGTGGTTGAAAATGAAGGAAAAGGTATTGATGTGATGGAAAATATTATTTTATTGATGAATGTGTGGTTGAAAATTAGTAGAAGAATGAGAATGAAAAAAAGAATGGTTACCAAACGGTGCCTAATAGCAACAAAGACAAACTGGACTGGTTTGGTCTAGTCTGGTCTGGTCTGGTCTACATAGGAACGGGTGCTTTTCACTTAATTTAAACAAATTAAATTATACGACCAATAATATGCATGTGGGTTAAAATTATAATTAACTGAAAATGGCACAATTTTAATTAATATAAATAAGACAAATCGCATGGCTGCCGCGGGATGGCTCGAGTCAAGTGCACGCCCTTTGGGATTTGATTATTTCCACTTAATAAAATATTTATAATCAGTTAACCAAGAAAGTGCACACGTCACTCTTGTTTGGGTTGATGACGAAACTTTCACACATCTTAATTAACATAGTTATTACCTTAATTACATTGTTTATGTTTTGCAAGGATATAAACTATAAAATACCTTGTCAGCTTGCTTCGTGTACTGATTCAGCACTATGCATTAAATTCGAAGTTAATATTTTACCTATAAATAACTTCGAGTTGAGATACGTTACAAAACACGTTCCAAATTAAACGTATCTGTAAAGTGTTCATATACTGTTTAAATTATAGATAGATAAAAATAATCGATAAATAAATGAGTAGTATTTTTGAATCCTTCAAAATGTGTGAATAAATAGCTTGAACGTTTTATTTATTTTTAAATTAATTGATTTAATTTTACTGTTAAAAAGGCAAAGGCAAGTTTAAAGTGGATATTCCCATTTCCCACACTACATGTGGATATAATGTACAAACTGGGTAGATAAAACTTTATCAATTGGGTGGCTATTCCACTAATAATCTTACAAATTATTACATGTTCCAGGTTGTCAAATTCATCAACCACATTACCTTTGTGTCCTTATAAATTATTTATTCAATCTTAAATAGGTATAAGGAATTGAGATTCTATTCAAAAATGTTAACCTATTACTATGGTAAACACCATCTCTTATAAGCTCACCATTTTTTAGGAATTAACATATCGTCTTTGTCCCCGTTCAAGCGATAATTTACGTACCTAGATCTCTACCAAACTATTATACTACATCAAGGACAATTGCCTTACGTTGACACAACCACCGCCTCGAGAGCCACCCACGAATTTTTCCGATTGCCGCATCCCAATAAAGCCCACCTCCTTTCTTCTATTCGTCTACCACTTGTCCATCCAGAAAGGTTAACTAATTGAAGTGGAGTAATCGAATCTTTTATAAGCTCATCGCTTAACTAACGTAGAACTTTATCCATACCTTCCCCGTTACAAAATCTTCTTTACTTGTTTCCTCTACTTGGTAAAATAGTCACAGGCAACTAATTGAACTAAAGTTTTGCCTGATGGACCACCAATAGCATGCGGTTGGTTTGATTGATTTTTAATGTTGGAAAATATTATCAATTTTGATTTTTTATATTGTAATTCAATAAACAAAATTTAATAATTGAATAAGGTTTCATATATATAGCCGAATCCATGAATTTGATTAATAAGGTTCTAGGGAAATAACAACAATTTGGAATCTCATCCTATAATTCTAGACTTTTATTTTAAGTTGTATATAAACTCTAAAAAACCCTTCCGATCGAGAGGATGAATAGAAGAATAAAATCAATTGTATGATGTGCCACACTACTTGAAACTTAAGTTCGAGGCTAGTGATTTGAGATCTAAACAAATTTACTCAATTGCTGATATAAAATTTCACAAGTGCACGGTTTCATGTACAAGTAATAAATTGATAAGTTAAATATCGTTCTAACGAGGATTGAGAATTTAGTCCGAATTCAATTAAGCAGAGCCTTAAGTTGAACATATATTTCAAAATTTGGATGTTGACAATAAATGAATGGATTGATGATCAATATTCATAATTTGTTCAATAATCTCTCCCGGATAGAATTAAACTAATTTTTAATATGACTTTAATATACATTTCTATGAAGGATGCAAATGCGTAAAAACCCTTGAAAAACTAGAATATTCAATTAACGACCACATAAAGAATAGGGGTATTTATAAGCTAATTTTACAAACATTTATGAGTGAAACTTACGCTCTCTAGTATTTATATGTGATTCAGTTTTCCCATCTTATGGAGTGGATAGGGCTTGTGAACAAATTCTGACATTAAATCGAGTTGTCTATTATAATCAAGTTTTAATCTCTAGTTTTTCTCAAAATCGTTGTAAAGTCTCAAGGATGTTGCATAACTTCAATTAAACCCTAAACCCTAAACCCTTTTTAATTAACCCCCCCCCCCCCCAATTAATTCCACTAAAAATATAAATTAAAATCTAAGTCAAAGTTAAAGTCAAAGTCAACAATTAATTTTAACCTCACATTTTACGGGACCCACAACTTTTCAATTATATATTTCATCAACTTTTCTCGAAATCTATAGAAATCTTATTTTTCTCAAACCAAACGGGGCCATCTATAATGTAGCTTTTTTACTCTAGGGTTAGCTCACGAACATCATCGATCAATGAACGGTGTCTTGATAGAGTTGGTAGTATATCTAGTGCAACCAGACATCCTTCAACCTAATCACAAAAAGGAGTTCTACGTGCCATTCCAATTTTAACGAAACAAAGAAGACTTGAGGATATGTTTGACAAGTGTTTATAACTCGTTTATAAATGGTCAAAAAAGATATAAACCATTTATTGTTCATATATTTCATAGAATCTGCAGATATTATTCACTTATCAATCACTTATTTTTATCTATTTATAAACAAAATTGTTTATAAATATTTTTCAAACAAGCACTAAATTTAGGACTTAAGAATCCAAACTTAGTTGTGGGGAATTATGAAGATTTGTCACTTCTAGTGGGTATTCAAGCGAGTAATAAATGAAAAAAATTGACTTGTTTTAAAGAAAAATAAAAAAAGTTAAAAACCAATGGTAAAATTTGTTAATTCTCCATTGAAACACCAATTATCAAACATTTCTCTCTTTTTGTTATTTTTCACACAGGAAGACTTGGTCTCATTTGGACTTTAAACTATTGGATATACATTGGTCTAAAAAGCTAGAAACTTAATTTGAAAAAATACATCAAACATTTTAGAGAAAATTATAGTAGGATCCTTAATCTTTGACAAATACAGCACTTGAATCTTCAACCATGTTTACATTTTAGACATTTCATCTTTGGTGCACCGTGCGCACAAGTCCCCACTATACAAAAATCGCTAGTTTCTTTTTTCCTGTCCTGCACGTAGTTTCTTTTTTTCGAGAGTTTTTTAATCTACCTCCTAAACTAGGAAAAATAAAAAGGAAAACACTTTCCCATCTCCTCCTTAGATACCCTATTTCGAATAATTGCTTAATTTTGTAAAGGTTGAAGATGAGTACAAATTTTTCATTTCGTTAAGCAATACAATAGAAAGGGTCGTGTCCGGAGTAATGTGACAGCAAATTAATAAATAATGTAAAGCAAGTGACCTACTTGTTTTGTTGCAATATATAAACGTGAATAGTAATAGTAGTATAGTTAATGAGAATTAATGAAGTTGGACAAATAATTGTATAGTGTCCAAATAATATTTTGAATAATACTAAGTTGCTCAAAACGCAAATAGAATTAGAAGCTCGTGCTGTACAAAACAGCTGGCTGCGGCTGCTTTGGTCCTTAACGAAAAAACTATTTATAAATACTGTACAAGGACGAGATCACATGAATTCAACCAGATAATCAATGGGCCCCCACCTCACCACGAATAATTTTTATTTGAATGAAAATCTCTTAACATGGGAAACTTCTTGGGAGGGAGGTATCCACGAAGAATAAACGGTCAACAACGAGTAGAAAGAATAAATAGATGATCAACTCATTTAGCCAAGCCTTTTTGAATCGTCCATCCCGTCCATGGGGTACCTATCCTATAGTTACGTGTTTGGTCAAATAACAAAGCAAGCACCGTCCCCCAACTGCGTCTGCGTTGATATTCTTGAATTTTTTGAAACAAAGAAGTGATTTTTCTTGTTAACCCTAGCTACTACCTAACATATTCAAGATTAAGATTTTTCTTCCTTTTTCTTGTGTACATGAAGTAGTTTTTGCTCTTCTTTATTTTTCATTTCTTGGAGTAGATCTGTCAGGTTGAGTTTATAAAGTGACACTGGAAAATAGGCGGACAGATCAGGAATTTCATGTCAGGTAGGCTGGGATTTTATGAAGAAGGAGCGAGTTCAGAAGGTATGAATCCTTCATCGCAGTACTCTTTCTTTCCCTCATCTTCTGAGCAAAAAGGTGCTTTACCTTACACCTACCACCGGCAAGAAGCTGAGGAATCTCTGAGATGTGCTCAACCTGAGCTCATGCCGGACTCTTCGCCCAACAACAATGGAGATGGGGAGGAGACTAATGACTCGGATGATCATATTGTTCTTCGCCGAGGAGGAGAAGGCAGTAGTATGGCTGGAAACTCTATCTTTATCCAGAGGGAGCACATGTTTGACAAGGTAGTGACACCAAGCGATGTGGGCAAGCTCAATCGATTAGTCATTCCAAAACAATTTGCAGAAAAGTATTTCCCCTTAGATTCGTCGGCGAACGAGAAAGGACTTCTGTTGAATTTCGAGGATAGAAATGGAAAGCCATGGCGATTCAGGTACTCCTACTGGAACAGCAGCCAAAGCTATGTAATGACCAAAGGATGGAGCCGCTTTGTTAAGGAAAAGAAGCTTGATGCAGGTGACACTGTTTCTTTTCAGCGTGGGGTCGGCGAGTTGGGAAAGGATCGATTATTCATTGATTGGAGGCGCCGTCCAGATGCTCTTGACCTTTCTCCTCCTATCCCTCCTCTCTCAATTCCACATCAATTCTCTTTCCACAGGACTCTTCACCCGTGGAATCCTCTATATTTTCAGTCACAAGGGCCACCATTGACCAGGGATTATTCACACTTTATGCAACCCAACGTCAATACTCATCAATCTCATCCAAACAATACATATGGATATGGTAATGGGCCTTACGGTTATAGTGGTAACGTTATAACCGGAAACCCTTGTTCCACTGGCTCGATTGTCTACGTTAGATCGGCTGCCGGAGCTGGAGCTGGAGCTGGAGCTGGAACTGGAGCATTAGACCCACATCAGCACGGAATGGTGCAGATGCAAAGGGGAGGTGGGGTTGGGGTTGAGCAAATGGTGTTTGAATCGGTGCCTGTGGTCCAAGGGAAGTCTGCAGCAAAGCGACTCAGGCTGTTTGGTGTGAACATGGAGTGTCCCATTTCGGAGTCAGATGAATGTGATATATTGTCGTCCACAACAGTAACACATTCAACAATGGAACTTCAGCCTCCCCCTTTTGATTCCTCTTCATTTCCTAAATCATTTTCTTTTCACCAGTCAAGGCCCCAAACTGTGCCCTCGGACCTGCTCAACAAGGGCAAGGGTTCTATGTCCTTGGATTTAGACATCTGATCTGAGGAATTCATGTCCACATGTTGAGATTCAAAAGGGATAAGATCCCGCAGAAGAGGCATAAATCTTTACCAATATTGTTCAACTTCATTGTCCAACCGCAGTAGCTCTCGGAGATATTGTCACAGCATCACATGGAAGAACATTACACCATTATTTCAGAATGCTGAGATTTCATTAGCATCAGAAAAGCTTCATCAGAGATGAAAGATAATTTCCACATTACTAGTGTTTGGGTTTCATTCTGTGTATAGACATAATACTACATAGATAGATCACAGATACATTGATGTAGATCCTCCAAGTCCGTTATTTTATGCTTTCCCTAAGTTGGGCATGGATCATCAGAATGTATCCATGCCATTTTTACTATTTAGTTACTTTCTCTAAATTCCTATATTCTATAACTTTGGATCATCAACTGATATTAGCTCTCTTCCTCAATTTTCTCTCTCTATATATATATATTGTGTTGGTTAACATAATGTGTAGAGAATTGAACTACTTCATCTTTTATCACTTTTGTTTTTATTAGCTTTTGGTAGGTTGTTGTTGTTGTCGCTGCTTTGATGGGCACGCCGGCAGATGCAGCAGCAGAATTGTTGCAGAGCTTTAAAAGGTACATCATCTAGCTTAATTTGCTTACATTCATCATTAATTTCTGCAGGCTTCATTCCATCTCTTTGTTACATCTCTCTTCCTTTTTTCCACAATTGTTGGTTTATATATAAGTATATACCACATTCTTTCTTTCACTGACCTTGTTTTTCCATCAAATTTACAATAGGCCTGTGATTCTTCCATTTAAAGGTGCACTAGCATAATAGACCTGGGGTGATCACATTAATTCTTTATTCTTATTATGTACAGATCATCAATATTAAAGAACAAGGTACTTGCTTTAGATGCTGCTTGCTTTCTTCTTGATTAATGTGGATATTGATTAATTTCTAGGTTCTTGCTTGTGATTTTCATTAGCATTAGGTGTCCCATAAGAGAATTTTTCCCAAAAAAGAAGTGAAAATGTAATTAGCAAGTCAAATTATATGCACAAAATGGAGCTGAAATCACATAATTGACTGTTTCCAGTTTCACATTCACATTCTACAATTCATAGTATTTACTATTTACAATATAGAAGCTTTATAATTATTGCTTGTGATACGATGCCATGGTGCATGTTCCATACAATTTCACTTCTCATGGTTGAATGTACAACTTCAACTGAAAAAAATGTCTGTATGCACCAATTCAAGCTCTTCCTTTCCTCTTGAAGACCCTTCTTCCAAAAAACGATTGTGTGTGATGCTTTCCATGAGCACATCCATCACAAATGTCTGAAAATCTTTTGCTTCGGGCATTTCCATGAACCATGTTCTTCAGTTGAAATGATTTGAGCCTATGAATATTTTCATCTCAATGCAATATTTTCAAAAAGCTCGACTGTGAGTGGAAAGCTTTGATCCCCTTCATTCTATTTATTTTTTTCAAATTTCACCAGCATCAATTCATTTTTGACATAATTTTTACAACTGTTAGCTTCAATTCACTGCATGTACATGCTTCAAGCTGCCCATATTCAACAAGTTTTGATCTGATCAATCAAGAAAAATTAGTTAACTACCCCGATTAAGCTCAATCCCTTTCTTTATATGGACTCCAATGGTTCCTCTTCCTTTCCATTCATCAAAGCACCATTTCCCATCTTAATAGGTATAGATAGCGAAGTACATATGTATTGTCAAGATACCGAAGGTTCTTCGATTGTTTATTCAGATGCACTAGGAGGATAGCAGAAAGTAAATTCTTGTTACCTTCATTTTGTTTCACAAATTGTGTTTTGATTATTTTCACTCTATAATACTAATTCAAATGATTAAATTTTCCATTCCTTTGTGCCAAGATTCCACATCTACGCAACTTTTCTTCAGGCAATTTAATTTGCAACCGTGTGCATTGAGCTTTTACCTCTCTCAAATGTGTTTTTTCTCTTATTCTTCTGCAAAATGTATCACCTACTGATGATCTTCCCTCAATTTGTTCCTTACACAACGACCCATAAATATAATTTACATTCACAGACACTATATCAATCCTCTTTCTATGACATTTTATGTTGTATACTGTCAAATCTATTCAACGATAGTATTAAAATCATGGAAAATAGTGATTATTCTTTATGCTTTCATCCAAGCATCTCATCTGGTTCAAAATATCAACTAGTTGAGTAGTAGTCTTGAATAGTTTTAGTTCCTTAGTCTCAAATTTATAAATATCCCTTTAAGACTCGGAAGATCAACATTTTTCATCTTCAAATTTTCTTGAAACTGGCATGCTTTCTTGACTGTCGGATGCATGATAGAGACTTTGGAAATTTTGGTCCAACGTTGGAGTCGCCGTAAGGTTTGGTTCTTTGAAATATTATATTTGAAAGTGCCTATATTTTAGACCAAGGGTCAATGTTCTCTAGATATTAAAATTTGTAGGGGACATGACCCTACTTTTCTTCTTGAAATGAACCCTAATTTATTGCTTCAAAATTGCCATTGTAGACCTACCTGTTGTAAGCAATGTGTTGAAATGTAGGTAGTGTAATACTAGTGAGAACATGCAGCCAAAACTAAAAAAAAAAAAATTGAATTTGGTAGAAAATTGAAGCTAAAAGTTTATTGGAGAGAAGGAAGAAGACAAATAAGATTGTGCAGCCTACTATTTTAGATTTTTCTATCCCTTTTTAGCCTAATTGTGACAAGTTTATGCAAGGTTTTGTGTACCTTAAGGTTGTTCTTGGTACACAGAATTAGACATAAAATTAGTAGATTTATTATGTGGATAGTATTAGGGTGAGCTAAGGTGGATAGTATTTTTTATTTATTTTTAGTTTAATTTGAAAAAGAAAAAAATTATTTGCACAATCTTTTTTAGGCTAATCGGATAATATAATTAGGAATGGGAATGTGAATGTGAATGTGAATTTAGAATGAATAAAAAAAGATAATGTCAATAGTATTCTTTTGGACGAAAAGCTTACACATACTATCCACTTTAATTCACGATAATACTACCTTCTTTAATTTTATGCATAATTCCTTGAACGGTCTAATTGAATTTGGCAAATGTAGCCTAAAAGTGTAAAAAATATGAACAGTTTATTATTCTATCTAGAGTTACTTATTCCGTGTTTGATACATATATTTTATACTTATTTTCAACCTCATATTCTCCCAATAAAATTATTTTTCACACGAACTTATAATTTTTTTTTCTATTTTTTAACTATACATTATTCAAAAATGTCACTTTTTATACAAGGAATCTCTAATTGCACGTGAAGAGGTCGATGATACAAAATGGTGTAATAATTAGATAGCCAGATATATTTTT